CATTGTATCGCGAGATCAGTGCCCTATTTCATCAAACCTGATATCGATAACAAGTTATGATAAATGTTATAAGCTACAGAAATCGCAGCATCTGAGTGGTTGAGAGCAATTTTGTCTCAGAAATTTTGCATTTAAAGATAAACTTGAGTTCTGGTAAAAAAAAAAAATAATAATAATTCTCACAGAATCAAACGAAACTTACACTGAATGTTAAAGATTACAAATAAATGTCATTTGCCAAACAATTTTGGTAAAAAATGTATATTGGCTGGGTAATGAGCATAGAAAGATAAGGAAATCAAGGTTAGTAGCCCCGACACCAACTGTGTAGTCCCATATACATCTGTCTGTGTACAGTGCTTGTTACTTTACCAAGACTGGGCCAAATTTATTATGATTTTGATGACTCCAGAACATTGCAGTAAACACCAATACTTACATGCTACATGATCAACTTTTTTTTCCATTCCACACCTTTTCTTTCACAATGCAATCGCATGACCAGAACTTAACTTTATATCTAATATTGGTAACAAGTTTCATCAAACGGGGACCGGAACACAACTTTATTTTTAAGATGTGAATAGGCGCGTGAAATCTCTGCCGTAATGACACATTGTCGTAAAACTAAACCAATCCCTCTCACCCTGTTCAGTGTCTGCATGCAAGCATGAATCACTTTACAAGCGATCCATGGAGGTATCATTTCACTAATTTAAAGATGGTATTACATGGTATTATAAATAGCAATATTTATGCCTCTGAATGCTCATAGTTTGCTAGAGCCAAGAAAGACATTGTCTTGATATAGGATAGTATGAGATAATAATGTAATATAGGATAGTATAAGATAATATCGGATATTATAATATAACATAGAAGAATATAAGATAGTATAGGAGATTATGATGAAATGTAGCATAGTATAAGATAGTATAGGAGAGTATAATATAATATAGGATAGTATATCATGGTGTAGTAGAGTAAATAATAAATGTTCTCATTCTCTCAAAATCAATTGTGAAATTATCCCCTTTTCGTGCTCTGTACAATCTTAATGCAAAAAACTATACATGAGGGATATAATATAAGATAGTATAAGAGAGTATAATATAATATAATATAGGATAATATAAGATAGTATAGGAAAAGATGATATAATATTGGATAGTATAAGACAGTATAGGATATTATGATATAATATAGGATAGTATAAGATAGTGTAGGATAATATAATGTAGATAACGAAGCCCTAGATCTAGACCTCCTTCTCACGCAGTTCTAAATACGCTATTCATTCACCTTTTTTTTACCCCTTGTTATTTAATTTAGGCCTATGTTGCTGAATGCTCGCAGTAAGTCTAGCCTACATGTTTTTTGGTTATTGTGAAATACTCATGAGTCATGAGGGATATAAAACAGGTATACAATGTCTTTCTTGGGTCTAGCAAACTATGAGCATTCAGAGGCATAAATATAGTAATTTTTCCTCGGGGCAAATCAATATCAAATCTACTACACCCTCACCAAGCTTCGGGTAAGGTAAATTTGATATAAATTAGCCCTCGAAAAAGTTGCAATTTATGCCTCTTCATTAGCTCATTGTTTTTGCTAGACCCTCGAAAGGTATTGTATATTTTGTAAAATATAAGATAGTATATCTATATACTATATAATTATAGTATAATATGTAGTAGAAGACAGAATGGGAAAGTATAATAGTAGACAAGCCAAACATAAAAAAGGCTTTAAAAAAATATCAGTATTCAATGGCATTTTTTTGAATACGCATGGCATCCATGATAAAACTCTTGCAAAAATACTAGGTAACAGGGGTGGATGCCACGCACAATTGTTGTTGCTCGAAATTTGAAAAAAAAATCAAAATCAAAATTTCTAATTGATATTTGCTTACCAAATATGTATTATCCGATAAGGAGCTTTAACATGTTTCTCTCTATCATTGAGTATTAGGTATGGATGCCAATGAATCACGCTGGTTTTAAAAATAGTGTTTGTAACTGTTTCCTTCAAAGACACGGCCTTTCATGCGTGTAGGATAATACAGACTCACATTTTGTTTAAATCGTTGGTCTTTAGAATGAGCAACCATTTTTCTCCCCCTTTTTTGTTGGGGGGGGGGGGGGTCCCAAATCCCCACACCTCTGGGCACCCTTGTAAACAACATAAACTTTACTTTCATTTTGCCTGCAATTCTAGTATCCCCCCTTTCACCCTTTACGGTTCTTCGATTCAAACAGTCAGTTGTTGTTGGGGGGGGGGTAGAATTGTATCCTCAGGCTAGCATCGCACTGACATGACTACTTCATTTGCATGTGTACATAGTAACTATCTTCAAATCCAAGGAAATATAATATCAATATTTCCGCCCACACGATATGCTCTACCTATCCCGATGACGTCGCAAAGTCCAGTAAGGCGTAATTAGAACACAATCAAGAGAGCCCTGCCCAGTTTCAAGTAAACTCATTGCCAAATTCAAACCTTTATACAATAAGTATAAGACAAGGCCAGTGTGACTTTTTATTCATCTTCTGACCTCAGTGATTTGATTCTTGGCAACATGTCTCAAATTGTCTTGAAGTTCTTCATTCATGAAAGATATTACAAAATGTTGGTATGGGGTCATGAATCAGGTTCAAATGAAAATATTGGAAGCATATGCGATTTTAAATTATTCAATGATCGTTGTCGCTGTAGAAATCGAATCTTAGGTGATGAATTTGAAAATAATAAAATCTTTATGTTGTATAGCTTTACCTCGACCTTGATATTACTTTAGCTTTGAAAAAATGTTTCTTGACTAGAATCGCCTGATTTTCTATTCCCGCTTGGAAATTATATAACAGTACTGCATATTCCCACCATTATTATTATTATTCTGAGATTTTCATTGTCGCAGCTATCATGGAATGTCCCTAGGCGCTATTTGAAATATTTGAAATTTACCGAGAGCACCGGTACATTTTTTGATATTTCAATTTCTCGAAAGCAGAAGTGTTTTAGGGGTTAATTTTCCTAGTGCTTATGTAATTTCCCCAAACTTTGCATACCTACAGCGGGGTCCCTTGACTCAACTCTTCTTTCCAAAGTACACCCCTGCCATAAAGTTAGAATAACTATTACCTTTTTTCATGAAGAGGTTGTGACCATAAGGTTTATTTTTGTATAGATAAAGTTAGTTTTTTCTCAGAACTTTACATTGATCAATCTAAAGAGTCATGGTGATTGAATAATAGCGTTTGGGGGAGATATAAACGCTATCTACATTAATCTAGAATAAACTATATTGACACAAGCACTTCATAAACGCACACAAAATACAAAAAAATATTCAAACTTGATGGGTGACAGTGTATTTGCTGCGACTTATTCTTCATATAAGTTTAATCTTCTATCCTTACTTCAAGTTAAAGGGATTGGGTATCTTTGTCTCGGATTCTGAAACAAAATCCTGGATTAAGCTCATGCTGCACTCCACCCAGCTGAAGTAAATGGGTACCTGGTAGGAATGTATTCCTTGAAAGGTTAGAGCGCCGTATGGCAGCCGTGTTAAAGCCAGGGTAATAATATGGAGCGCCAGGAGGGTCAAATTTGACTGACATGAGCGCTATACAAAAACACATTATTATTATTATTATTATTATTATTATTATTATTATTATTATTATTATTATTATTATTATTATTATTATTATTACTATAGATCTTTAGGTCAGTCAGGAACCCCATGACTTTTACATGCCGAGTGCCTGTATGATTATCAAGCTATTTATGATTGGAAATCGAAATGTCAAGAAAACGTTTTCCTAAAGGTTTTTTATAACATTACAGTCTATTGGGAAATGAGTATCATGGTAAAAAAAAAAAAAGGTCACTCAAAGGTTTTTACTTTTTTGCGGCACTTCATGATCATTTTGAAGCGCAATTTTTTGGGGCTTCAATAGTACACTATATCACAGGCACTGCTAACAGGCTTGGCCATTCATCTCAGATTTATCATTGTTAAACGATGCCTTTAAGTTAATATGTACAGTCCGTACATAGATAATTACTCACGCAGCAGAAAAATAACCAAAAGAGAATGAAAGTCGATATGAAACTGTAATTCATACTTCCTTATTTCCCCTTACATCATGGAAGAAAAACACATCCGAGCGTATTCAATTACACTAAAGCAACAACGCCTTCATAATCTGCATATTAAAGCTAAAGACCAGTTATGGTCATGCAATTGCATAGTGAAAGAAAAGTTGTGAAATCGATCAGAAAAGGTTGATCATCTAGCATAGATGTACTGCAATGTTCTGGAATCATCAAAATTATAAGAAATTTGGCCAAGTCTTCATAAAGTTAGAAGCACTGTACACAGAAAGATGTATATGAGACTACACGCACGTGCGTGACACGTGCATTTGTATCTTTCAACAGTATATAGATATACTAATTTACCAAATATATCAATAAGTAGGCAGTTTCCCGTCAAAATTGTTATCGTCATGTAACATTCAAAACATATTCTTTCACATGATTGGTAATAAGAGCTTCCATTTCATTTTTTGAAATTGGGGCGTTTCCAATACTGGTCTTTACCTTTAACAAAGAGGAAGAATCGCGAAATAAGGACAGGGGAGACAGGAAGAGAGAGGGAGAGAAGTAGATAGAGACAAAGATAGATATATATATATATATGTAGAGAGAGAGAGAGAGAGAGGGAGTGGGGGAGGGGCTAGAGAGAGAGTGGGGAGGGGCTAGAGAGAGATAGAGAGAGAGAGAGAGGGGGAAAGAGAGTGAGAAAGAAAAAGAGAGAGCGAGCCGAGGGATGGGATAAAATTAGAGAAAAAAGGGCATTAGTGAGGGAGATTTTAAAAAGAGGAAGATATATAGAGTGCGAGAGAGAAAGAGAGAGAGAAAAAAAAAGACAGCAGGAGAGTGTGATAAATCAAAAAATGATAATGTTAAGATTCATAACGGCCTACCTTCCATTTCGGCTTGCAGTGAGTTGGCCGCCATCGTCCTCCCGCGGAATATGTGTAGTTTCCAATTATTATACCACTCCTATCGGCTTCCACAAACGCGGAGTGGTTTTTATAGTAGGGCGTTAACTTATCACTCCCTGACGTCATCAGGGATGCGCTCACGTTCTCCAAAAACGTTTCTGCGCGGGACCGCGTGTCACCGAATATGGTATCCTCTATAGATGTGATATCGATATTTGAGACGTTGACTTGGTAGCTCCTGTTAAGTTCTGATAAGAAAGGGAAGAAAAGGATGAAAATAATTAGAATGAGAAACAAAATTAGTGACAAGTGACTTTGAGCATTGCGTCCCGTGTTCAATGGCTGCCGTAGAAACAAAGAGTTGACAAAAGACGTGATTATGGATGGCCGATCGTCAAGACTGCATGAAGTCTTTCGTCTTCTTTGTTGTTGGGCAGGCAGCCAGTGAAACGGATTCGTTTACAAGGTTATGGAAATGCAAGCATTACTTTAAACAAATAGAACATTGCTATTCCTGACTCATTTCTTTCCTGATTGAGGTGTCATATAAAAGGGCAGAAAATGAACTTTCTGGAATGTGATTTTCCCTTGAAAAATTCAGATATCGTTCGCCAAATGGCTGTTTGGTACCATTTCTTCAAATGGTGAAACAGAACGGCGGATAACAGATATATATTGGAAAATGATACAGTCATCCTCACAGTCAGGAGAAGATTCCTTAGTAGATACAGTTCAACCTGTCTATAGCGGCCACACGAGGGAAACACAAAAAGTGGTCTTTGAAGACAGGTGGTTTTTGTAGACAGGTTCCTTTGGTACATGTTTCAATGAGAAACCATCTTCAAGGAAAACCAAAAAATGTGGTCTTTGTAGACAGGTAGCAGACAGTGTCACTGAAGCAGGTTTGACTGAATATATGAATTCTAAAATTGTTTAAAGTAGGCTATATATAGTACGAACTGGATCATGCCCAATCTTGCACTTCCGATATTTTACAATATTACTAACCTATGCGAATCATCCCGTGTCCGGGATGTCATTTTTCCCCAATTAAATAATTTCCACAATAACGGCAAACAAAATGTACAAACTTTTCGGTTTACAAAGTGCATTCCAATTAAAATATTTACAAACGAGAAATACGTTTATTATAGTACGCGCAATACAGTAAAGTATACAATTTAAAGCCCCACTGCACTACTTATAGCTACTTGCGCCCCTATATATAGCAAACAATGCCTAATCGGTACCTGTTGTCCCCCATCATCCCACTTTTCTTATGTTAATTGTGAGCTGGTTTGATGAGATAACCACCTGTCGATGACCATGGTGGGGGGTCTAATCCCTCCTGGCCAAACTATTACAGAGGGGCTTTAAGGCTAAGAAGGTAATTGCTTGCTGTATATTGCAGAGGAGACGTAGGAAAGCATAGCTTGTAATTTAGGTTACTTAACACAAAATATTGTAGTATCATAACGTAGAAAATGCTAGGAAACGTAAAGATGGGGAGAACGGGACGATACAAAACAAGACAAGCAAAACAAGATAAGCAAAAGAATAGGACACTGAAGTTTGCACTCTGCAGCTAATTCAAGCCTAGCTGTACATAGCATCGCGTACTTGACTCGACTATGTCTAAAGATAAAGTTGGGTTCTGGTCATGTGATTGCATTGTGAAAGAAACGGTGTGGAATCTATCAGAAAAGGTTGATCATCTAGTATATAAGTATTCGTGTGTAATGCAAGGTTCTGGAATCATCAAAATGATAAGAAATTTGGCCAAATCTTGGCAAAGTTACAAGCACTGTGCACAGAATGATGTATATGGGACTACACGAGCACATGGCGAAAAAGACCTACCCCCCCCCCATTTTTACGATGTTTCATGTCATATTTAGAATAATAAAGGCATTTGAAGAGCCATGCTTTTCAGGAAACATGTTTAATCTGATGTTCTTCCACCCTTGCATAATAACAATGATAACGCTCACAGATTATTTATTACCTCTTCCCAGAAATCAACCTTTTCTTTAATTCAATTAACCAGCTGTTACGTAAGATTGCGTCTCTCATTTGATCTTAGGAAAGAGAAAGAAATACCCCTCGTGCTCGCAGATCAACAGATCAACTCATCAATTAAAATGCTAATACTCTGTGACTCTTATGTTGTTCTTGTCAATTGATTACGTAATTAATTGATTGATTGTTTGTTTGTTTGTTTATTCTGTCCACAATATGACACTGAAATAATTTCCTGGTATCGTAACTAATTGAACTCGAGGGTCATATTAAATCATCATAGTCCCTCTAATTTGCACAAAATTAATAATTGTACTAATATCGAGAATTGAGTAAGCCCTCCACGGTAATCACAGCGTTTGCAAAATAATTATACAAGATCACAATGACTTTAGATATTCAAAGATTTACATAAGGTAATCTCAAAAGCCTTGTCAATCACCTATTGCAATATGCAACCATTCAAATGCGGTATTACGTAATCCATACTTGTCATAACAATTTCACTTCTTAAACTATACACGTTGAACATTTTAATTTGTGTCAATTTACGGAGGACAAATTAAGTTATTTGGACTTTGAAGATTCAAATTGGAATTGTTAATTGTTGCTATATTTCTACCAGAATTTCTAGTAAAGTGCTTGGTCGCGTAGAAAGACCATTAAGGTGAAGGTAACGCAAAAAACACTACAACAATAGTTATAATAAGCCTTTCCCTACCGAATCTCGAATATGTAGTACATTCTTGGTCAGGTGTGGGCTGTGTGTTGTTAAGACTATCCTGCCTGGAGGTTGAAGTACACGCACAATCTGAAAACGATTTATAAACAAAAGTTTGAAACATTATAAAAATTCTACTTACACAAGATCAATACAGTAATTCCTGAGATAATTCCAACACGTGTCAAGATAAGGAAATAATATGAAGATCGAATGATAAAGATAATATTACGTTCTACTGTAGCGTACATATTGATATGAGCTTTCCCGGAAATTCTAAACATTAATTTAATCAGACGATATATGTTAGAGATCATCCCCTTGTCTGAGAAGCTATCACATGACACCAGCTATTAATTTCACCCTAGAGTATGTGTTACAGTCCATTCCATTGGCTGAGAAGCTATCACGTGACACTACACAATTTCGGCGTAAAAATGTGACTTGTTATGCTGCTTTTAACACGCTTCTCAATGCAGACCCATAGCGTGTATTGTTTTAGTTGCGCGCATTTTACGTGGAATGATACCCGAATGATTATCGCCTTCTTATCTTAATCATTCTATTATAATGCAAAAAAACGTACCTGACCCCGCTCTTGATTTTCTGCGCAATGCATTGATACTAAGGAACGTCGATAGCTAATTCCCTTTTAACCCTTTTACAAAGCATTGGCCGCAGACCTGCGAACCCGCCACCCCCTGCACTTTTTCAGTACATTCCACAATTTGCACAAACTATAATTTCCCTATAGGATGTTTTAGAATGGATAGTTTCTGTATTCGGTCATCCGGGTACTTTTTCACAACCGCTGATAGTTTTAAAATTACACGGTCATCCGGGTACATTTGCGCGAAGCGGTCCACTATCAAAACCCTTCATGCAAATAATATTGTTTCTTACCGGTTACAAGTGGAAAAGGAGATTCCTTTGGTAAGGAAGCGCTCCTATTCAAACCTATAAAGAAAAACATAAAGGAGAAGTAAACAGAAGAGCTTTCCTCTAAAGAAAAAAGATTGGGTTCTGGTAAAGGTTAAAAATAACCTTAATTGATATATAATACTCTTTTGTGCGAAAGAATATCATAATAGAAAATAAGGTTCCCTGAAAATTTCTAGTGCCCGCATACTTCAAGATATGACACTCGGTACATTGCTTAGACCAAACTGTCATGTCACGTGTTTGTGTAGTCCCACAAACACATCTTGGTGTATAGAGGTATGTCACTTTCAGTAGGACCGAGTTAGTTTTCTCGTAATTTAGATGATTCATTATTTCATTCTTCATTAAACAAATATTAAAAACAAACAAACAAACAAACAAACAAAAGAAGACGAAAACCAAAACCAATAACAAAAACAAATTCATAAACAATAAAATTAAATCGAAAAGGTTAAGTTATTTGGACGAGTTGCTTGCAAGGATCTCTCACGTTCCCCCAGGTCCTCTGGTTGCTTAAAAAAACAAGAATTTATGCTTTCTTAGCAGTCAGGTAAAAATAACCACCACCACTACGGAAATTCTCATATTATAATTACTATTGCAGATACAAGGCATCTATCTGCGAAGTGTAGGGTTGATACTCCGTGTTTTCTTGACAGGTAGGTAAATCACGAATACCCACGTTATGTTACTCTTTTTGTACTTAAATGGGGTGTAGCATGACGAGACTACGTGTCTTTCCCGTTACCTGACTCGGGGCCAATCGGGTATACGACTACGGACGAAGCGACCGCAGCATTCACGCGCGTGCAACATACGCGAAACCGAAGCGTGAGGAGAACTTCAGTCTGTTTCGCGAACGCTAGCGCGCGCTGACCGTTAATCAAGTCCATTCGTTTACGTGCAGTTGTCCAAAAAAAGTTGTAGATGGCGTTAACAGATATTTGCCATGCTACACCCCCTTTAAGTTAATTTGTTATTAATTCGCCTTTAATCACAGTGTTCCTCTCATTGCTCGATACTTAATTCGGTCATATACCTCTTAAAGGCCGGCTGTACTGGTTCGGCCAGGAGGGATTCAAAACCTCTTTTTAAAGCATTATTTCCAAACCTACGTTCAAAACCATGATTTCAAAGCCTATTTAAAGCCTCATTTCAAAAACTTATGTTCAAAATCTAGATCCGCGAGTGATCCCCGTCACTAAAATAATGCACAATAAATTCTCCACTCAGTTTTACACACTCTTCACTTATCATAGTTAAATTCCATTTTTCCATTTTTTTTTAAAGTAACAAGCAAGCACATGCTTATCCGGTTTCTCGTCACTTGTTCCTGGAACATGTCTACATGTTTATCATTATGTCCCCTCGTTGTAAGAACATGAGGGACTCTAGTTCATAGCCCCAAAACACACTGTTTGTAAAATTCGTTGCGGTGCGTTTACCGGTATCATGAATGTAACACCGAATGCAAACACTGCGTCTACACCTTTCATTCACCTTGTTAACACTCCATATACCTACACCTTAATATAATAAAAATAATAATAATAACGATACAAATACTACGACTACTACTACAAATCCTACAACTACTAATAATAGTTATGATTATGATAATAATGATTACAATTAATGATAACATACTCGTTAATCACATGCTTTATTTAGTGAAAATAACAAGATGAAGCAAAATTTGTTTGTAAAATTAGAGAGCGATCAACAACAACAAAATAATCCGTTGTGGTGCAATTACCGGTATCACCGAAAGCAAACACCGCGTCTACACCTTACATTCACGTTGTAAATATCCCGAATACCTATGCCTTATAATAACAATAATAATAACTGGTTGCTTACTTACAAGCATTTATGCTTTCTTAGCAGTCAGGTAATATAACAACCACAGCCACCACCACCACCAATAACGGAAAAAAGTACTACTACTACTAAAACTACTACTACCCTCCTCCTTTAACTAATAATATTAATAACGATTATGATAATGATAATTATAAAATTAATGTTAACAATGCTTTTTAGTCACACGCTTTATTTAGTGAAAATAACAAGAGAAAGCATGAAAAAGGGAACATGATTCTCTTCGACGGGTGTTTTTTTCGGAAGTCGCGCGATCTGTGTGGGATGCGTGTAATGCCTCAGTCACACCTTTGCGTGTTTGGCTTGCGTTTTGCTGCGTATTTATGGCAAGCCGTTTTAACATTTGTTCCTACTTCTTGTTATCAAGAATTGAATTCTTGATATTAAAAAAGAATTACCATTGCTTAACAACAAAAAATCATTTCTTGATATCAAGAAATAGGAATAAATGTTAAAACGGCTTGCCATAAATACGCAGCAATACGCAAGCCAAGTACGCGTTGACTAGGCGTTGTGGCGTTTATACGGCGTTACGTTGTGGCGTTACAAACTGATTCAGGCGAGGACGCAGGTTCGAAACTGAGTCACGTCTTTCGGATTGTGACGTTTAAAGGTCGTTCCCCAGACGTAAATAATCATATCTGATTGATACACGTCTGTAAAAACCCAATACACACACACGCCAAGTATGCAAAAGTGTGACTGAGGCATATGGGGGCACAAAGATGAATGAAGCACAAAAATATATTAAAAAAGGAGAGAATTAGGACTAACCCTTTGATCTTGTCCGAGCATGGGGAAGGATTCGAGGTGTTGTCTGTAGAGTCAGCATGAACACTGCAATCACCGCTAAACTCCATAGCACGATCAGCCGCCTATTCGATGAGAATATTCTGAAACGGAAAACAAATATTATTTAAATATTGGAACCAATTAGAAACGTTTACGCATCAATAATAATAACAATAATATTCTTTTTTTCTCAATGATAATGATAATAAATCGATAATAATATTAAGAAGAACAAAAAAAATTATAAAAAACTAGAACTGCAATCGTATTAGAACGTTATGCATGAATTGTCGCCCGTGTACACCAAGGATGAAAGAGCATCTCTTGGAATATTTAGAGCAATTTGAATGGTTAGAAGTGTGTAACATCTAGGATAGTAGGGGCTTTTAGATTCTGCACGACGAGAACCTGGACTGCCCTTTTAAGGCAATGTGACGTCCTTTTAAGGAACTGGCAGTGACGTCACATTGCCTTAGATGGGCAGTCCTCGTTCTCGTCGTGCAGAATCTAAAAGTCCCTAGTAGACATAGTTTAAGCTGAAAGAAAGGCCTCAAAACGGCTTGGAACAGACACAATTTCAGCAACAATCTTTGCTAAGATCACTTTTGTGACATAAAACTACATAAAACTGTGATCGACAAAATTGATATCATCTTGAAAATATTTAGAAAACATTGGAAATGGAATGAAGAAGACATAAATGTGACAATGGAAGTTGAGGGTGACGAACTTAATTTGACCTTGACGAACTTGGATGAGTTATGATTAAATTGATTGGACAAAGTTGAACAATATCATGACCAAAGGCGAAATTGACTTTGAAAAATGCAAGATTAGGAAGTACCGGGACAAAATTGAGTTTTAAAAAGTAGGAAATTGATTGAAAAAGTGTTAAAATGGACGGGAAACTCTGAATATACATGGTTGTTAATCGTGAGAATATTCACTCAAACGCGTACACGGGGGGGGGGGGGGGTTGGAGGTTTAAATCCCCTCCCCATTTGGTATTTTCTGTGTGTAATTCCCCCCCCCCCTCTAAACCCCCCCCCCCCCCCTTTGGATTTTTTTTTTTTTTTTTTTGTTATTAAAAAAAATAAAAAATAAAAAAATAAAACATTTCCATGGCTGACCTAAAAAAGCTAACCTTATCCCCCCCCCCCCTCCCCCAACGGAGCAAAATGTCAAATTTCCAAATTTCGAGACCAAAAAAAAAAAAGTGTCCTCTTCCCCAAGTTATCATCCAAGTTATATTGATAGTAATATGTTGTTGTATAAAATATAGACTAATTTTCTCCAGTTAATTAATGAAAAAAATTGAATTTTAATAAACTATTTATATACAAATCAATAATTATGAAAATACAATATTTAGAAAACAGTATAAATTCTTCAAAGTTCATTAAAAAAATTGTGAAATATTATGTACGCAGTATGATAAAAATCATAATAAGGGCAAAGGCATGGGGAATCAGGTTTTTGGGGATAAAAAGGGAAATTAATGGGATTAAAATATATAAAGCAATTGAGGCCATGACGTCACAAACTGGTAGTGATTGCCGTTGTTCCATACTTTTTCATACTTTTTCAAAAAATCATAGCATCCTTATTAGTTATGTGATTTTAACTCAATTCATTTTGTTGCTCTGTTTCTCTTGTTTTTGCACATCTGTTAAAAGCAAATTAATTTTGGAGTGGACTTAGCCTTTAAGTAATGGGCCTACGGCAGGTATGAAGTAGTCATTCAGTCACGAACTACGATTGACAATGGTATATGCCTGGCCTGTTTTGTAGTACAGTACAGTAGCAAACAACGTATTGACGTGAAGCACTGTCTGTTCAATTTATTTGGATCATGTAAGTTTACCTTAATCCGCGCATCCTGTCTCTAGGGGGCCTACAATTCAACGATTCCATAACATGAGACACACTCGTAATATAACGCCCTTGTAACGTACCGGATCGAGACACTTTCATCGTGAATCCAAATACAAGTTCGCCGATAAGTGATTGCATTGCTTGTATTGTGACAAGCGTAATTTCAGCGAGATGTCGCTGAACTTGTACTTACGTCGGTCTCGTGCAAAGGGTGAATTCTAATAATTTTGAAAAAGGGGAAAGACCTTATATAGCGCATATTCAGATTCATAGAATTATCTATGCGCTTTATATTTGTTTTAAACAATGATGCATTAACATACACTGAATGAGAGCCTAAAATATATGGACACGTGAAAGTAATGAAACCCAATTAATAGCATAATAAAATCAATAATCAATTACATTTGAAGAAAACTAGGTATAGTGAAAAATGCACCTGCCGTGTGGAACAAGCCCCCAACAAACCGAAAGAAAAACGTGAGCAGAACAGCCTCATGAATGCCAAGTTCTCTGGCTTAAAGGGGGAGTCCATGAAGACTTATGTTAAAGGGATCGTTTAACAATATTAAATCTGAGTTGCACCGCCCTACGTTGTATCAGTGTCTGTCATATGGTGTTATATTGAAGCCCTAAAGATATTGCGCTTCAAAATGATCAAGAAGTGCCTCAAAAGAGTAAATACTTTTGAGTGACCGGTTTTACCATACTCGTTTTTTCTAATAGACTGACTGACCTAAATGTTTATAATTATCATTGCAGCATGAGCTAAATCAAGGAATGTTATAAAGGATCTAAGACAAAGTTACCGGATTCCTTTAATGTGGTTCTAATAGAAGCAGAAAATGAGAGAAACAGATCAGTATAAGTTTGAGCAAAATCCGATGTAAAATAACAAAGTTATGCATTTTTTAAGTTGCGATAAATCAAACACAAAATGGTAACTCTGTGACGTATCCTGCGAGCTCCTCTCTAGAAAATGTCATAAACTTGTATTTTCTTAGTTATTGGTGACGGAATAATTTTTTTTCATTCATCGATTGATCGCACCTTCAAATATTCTTAACTTTCTTATTTCTGATCGATTTTTGCTCAAACTTTCACTGACTTTCAGTTATACATGAGCAAAATAATCTGCCAACTACCCCTACAAAAAGAGCTTGGTCTCAAAATTGTTTCCAGGACTACATATTAGATTAAGATTTTCTCCCCGTTTATTCTAATAATAATAATAATGACAAAAACAGCAACAATAATGATGATAACAATTTTTTTCTTTTCTTAATGTGATGTTAATTATGTACTTCTTATTTAGGGGTCAACGTTCAATTGTGTTGACCCCTCATTCGACATAAATAATACAAGCTACTGAAATCATGGCATCTGATTGGCTAAGAGCAAATTTGTCATAGAAATCTTGCATTTGTTATAGATAATAAGTTTTATGAAACGGGCCCCTGCTTCACTGGTGTTCTTCCCGAGTCCCGCCGCGGCACTAATGTCCTTTGGCAAGACATTGATCTATATTTGCCACTCTCCACCCAGGTGTTAAATGGGTACCGGTAGGAAGGAATTCCTTAAAATGCTGTGAGCGTCGAAATCGGCAGCCTAGCATAGCCGGGTAGGGTTAATTTTTTCTGCGGCACAGATTGGGGCTTTAACAAAAAAAAGATGTCTTGATTTAACCCTAACCCTAACCCTAAACTTTCCCATAGGCTCAACACGCACCTAACCCCAATCTGTGCCGCAGAAAAAAAATAACGCAGCCGGGTAATGTTGGAGCACTTTGAGGACCTTGCAAGGTCGATACGTGCGCTATATAAGAATCCAATATTATTATTATTATTACCATTGCCACAGTAATTGCCAGGTAAACATTTACTTTCGACTTGGTTAAAGTGAATACATTTATGCACGCACGACCCACTCAATATCTCTTAACACAATCAATCCTCACAACAAATGAAACATTTGGTTAAAGTGAATACATTTATGCACGCACGACCCACTCAATATCTCTTAACACAATCAATCCTCACAACAAATGAAACATTTGGTTAAAGTGAATACATTTATGCACGCTCGACCCACTGAATATCTCTTAAAACTATCCATCCTGAAAACAAATGAAGCATTTGGTTAAAGTGAATACATTTATGCACGCACGACCCACATTGGCCCGAATTCACAAAGGAGGTTTGTCGACAAACCTTGATTTTCGTACGTCATATGACGCGTTTCGACGCGTTTTTACAAACCGGGTTTTCAAAAAACGCGTAAAACGCGTCATATGACGTACGACAAACCTCCTTTGTGAATTCGGGCCAATATCTCTTAACACAATCCATCCTCAAAACAAATGAAGCATTTACTCTTAACCCGTTGACTACTAAACTTTGTCATTCCCCGTTGACTTAACACAGGAATCACCCTGTTCCTGTAGGCAAATGGTTAACGAGATCGATGTGTTTTGCACCATTTCACTTTGACTTGGTCCCATATTCATGTTTCAATTCAAGTGTACATAACCCGCCCCCCCCCCCCCCCAATTCCATGAACGGAGGGATACCATGCGTGTTACCAAAATGTCCGGTAAAGTGGTACTTTTCACGCACCAAAGTCCGGCTCGTACATACACAAAAAAGATGTTACACACCGGACTTAGGGGGTGTTTTCAAAAGGAGGGAACATGCATATGCGTACCCTAAATAACTGAGTGGAGGGGCCGGGGTACATAACCATTACAAATGGAGCATCATGGCGAAGGGGAATATTAAAGAAGGCTTTTTAATGATACCAATTAGGTCCTGTTTGAGACTATAATAGTACCAGGAAAAGAAATAGAGGCATCAGTTGTTGTAAGGTAATACTTGGTTTGTACCGAGTAGATATAGATCGCATGCTCGATCTTGTGATTGAAGCAATTGTAAGTATATATTTTTAAAAATAAAGAGAAGGAGAGAGGGAGGGAGAGAGAGAGAGAGGGAGAGAGCAAGCAATCCAGCAATATTGCTTTATTTAATGGCGCATGGGGAAGTCGCCTTCACATAGGAACCAACATTATACTCCTGTTACGAATACATTTTATCTAAATAGTCAAAGTTCAAATTGCATTCATTAGTCGTTGCTAGGTAGGTCAATAATAAAGGGCTTGTCTGACCTAACAACACGTCATAAATATATATATGCAATTTGCATTCTGCATACTGAAATACAATGATTCGTGAATGAAGCACCTAAGTATAACTTTGGTTTAAACAATTACAAAAATTGCCTATTGGATCGGTTAGCGCAGGTAACATTACACAAACAAGATGGTGCATTGCGTGCGATGGATATACAGACAGGTATACACACACAAGACGGCATTCGTGACGTAACACTGCGTCAAAACGTATCGTAACAACTTTTAAACTTTAACAAAAATACTTCTTACTTTATCATATTTGAGAGTCGGACGGGTATTCTATCTTCTCTTTCCTGAAGTGTGTTGCGATGCTCGATACAGTTCTTATATATATCCAGATATTTCCATTGACCTTATGTAGATGGTAGATGCTATGGTACCTGTAAAAAATAAATCAGGAAAGAAACCGTTATTTTTCCACATAAGCAGGGGGATTCATGAAAGAAAGCATTCTGTATTATACAACACATGCAACAAAAAAATGTGTTGCGATGCTCGAAACACACATTATAAATATCCAGATATTTCCATTGGCCTTGTGTAGATGGTAGATGCTATGGTACCTGTAAAAAAAAAATCAGGAAAGAAACCGTTATTTTTCCACATAAGCAGGGGGATTCATGAAAGAAAGCGTTCTGTATACAACATATCAAAACAAAAGAATAAAAAACCAACAAGGTCGGGGCTGGATTGGCGCTTACGGCTACCTCTTTTGCCTCCGGTCGGATGGTCGCAGCTGGTAGATGAAAGGCCGGGGGTCTCTTATTTACGCTCGAGAATTCGTGAATAAAGGAGCATTTTTTTCACAAAAGGTCGGGAAACACGATTTTAATCAATAGTGCTGATTCAGTAACAGTTCCTGCCACAATCATGCACAAAATTTATATTGTCCAAATCTGTCAGCGAAACAGAAGTCTTAAAAATTGTAAAGCAATTGAAATGTACACATAGTTTCGGGGTAAATTACAAAATGCGTAAATTTTACAGGATATGTATGTGTGCTGATGTAAGTGATGAAAATCTTTTTTGGAAAATGCATTTATTACATGTAACCACAACTATTTCTAGGAACTTTGGTTTCATCGGTAGATTACGTCATATTCTACCCAAACATATCCTTATTGCGTTGTATGATATACATGTTTTACCATTTTTAAAGCCCTTCTAAAGTGTTGGGAGCACCAATAAATTAATGGCAAGATTTCAGTCAAATTGTATCATGATATGAAAGAGGATGCCATTTAAAACACATTTGTGCAAGAATTCTCAAAAACAAATGTGTTAGAAGTCGAATATTGATGAAAGAATACAACAGTCAGGTTTTTTGCGTACAACAGAAACCCATGTTATGTATTCTTTTATCAATATTTTTCTTTAAAAAGTAATTTTGTGAAAATCTTTGCAAAAGTGTGTCTTAAATAACATCCTCTTTCACACCATGATACAATTTAAGTAAAGTTTTGCCAGAAAACCTGGGACGAATTTGGCGCGAATTTTAAGCTATTGTAATATTGTATGGGGAAATAAACACTTAACCGAACTATGTTCCGGATGTGTACATCAAAACAGGTACAGAATATGTCAAGTATATCAAATACGTCATAGTTCCTTACTTACTCAAAACCATTGTTTCAACACCTGAAGTTAATGTATATCAAATTAATTATCATTTGTGTGCAATATTGCTCTTCAAACATAAACAAATGGCCTGTTACCTCAAATTCTATGCAATATGCTAACTTTGAATAGTTTGGTACATCATTGTAATATCTGAAGTGCATTAGAAAATATATCATTTATGGGCTGTTGATAAAACGTATGTCTAGTTTACTTCGAGATATATATCACCAGTTAAATGGAATTCTCTACCAAACCAAATTAACATCAAATATATTCCTCCTTTTCTGAATTTTAAGTCTAAAAGCTATAATAGTTGTCTCCAAACTTCGTTCATAGTTGTCCGATCTGTCTCCTTTTTGTATGTGTCGTTCTATGTCTTATTACATATATTCATCTTTTAATATTTGTTATGTTTTGCATATTCATATACCTAAAATAAATGTTTAAATATCGTCTCTGGCTTCTCGCATCCGGGCACTTTCACCTTGATTTCATAAGGGGACTTACTTGACAATACCGCCTTGGTGGTATATGGTACCCTTTATTCCATGTATAATTATTAGCAATCTGTTCGGTATTTTTGATTTGGATATGTGTATGCTTTTATTGGAATTACATACTTTTTAGAAAGGAGATTGGCTGAGTAGATGTGCATTATAATATCGTCCTTCACGAAGTGACGGTAGTGAGGAAAATTGTAACGCAAAGTGAATGCAATTTTTTTTCACTACCGTCACTTCGTGAAAACAGCGACGATATAACGCCTTCCCAAGATACGTCAGTGCCGGGCTGAGGTTCGAACCCTCCACGCTTGGGTTGAGAGTCAAGTGAATGAACCACTTAACCACGACACCCTTGACCTCATACGGTAAATCTCCATACACCCGCGTTGTCACTTTCTATTTATGGAGTTGTGTAGGGTCGCCATCAGAGTCACAAAAACACAATTGACCCCCTAATTGCAGAATTTCCGGAACATTTTTCTACAAAATACGCTTAAATATACTGTAACCCTATTTTGGCTGGTTTGATTCTACGACAAGTTCGTCTACTATCCAATCCACATGGTCTGATAATGATTTCGTACACTTATAATTTGGTCTAATTTCCATTTAGGCTAATAGACATCTGGGGGGGGGGGGTGTTTCACAAAGATCCTAAGTAGAAGTTAACTCTAAGTTGGACTTAAATATTATGAAGAGCCATTTGTAGCCTTAAAATATAATATATTCAAAAGCAAAAATTCAAATATTTAGACTTTTCATAAATTCCACATCAAGAACATGAGATCTCCCACGATAGTAGAAAATGTGAATGATTTGAATCAACATTTTATGCCTTTAAAAAAATGTTACCAAATATTTCCATAGATGCTGACGGCTTTCCATAATTGCTATGTCCAACTTAGAGATAAGTTCAACTTAGGATCTTTGTGAAACACCCCCCTGGTCTTATCTCCGATTAGTCTACTACCCCTGTCGTCAATTGACGCCTAATTTCCAATAGGTCTAATGCCAATTTGTTTTACTTTCCGGGATTTTAAATCACAAACAATCCAAACAAAACCTATCTGGTAATATCAACAAAACAAAAAAATAGAACACAGTACACGGAACAACAATTTCCAATTATTAACCAGAACTGCTCATCGATTTCCGATGATTTAAGCGGTTTATTATCTTCTGCGCATGTAGATTAACATGTTTAAAATCACTATCTCGATTCTGTCCCGGCTTATTGGCGGTGACCATCATGAGATCAAAGGGAAGAAACGTGTACGGATTGTTATTGAGACGACATTGACGGAGACAATCACAATGAATTCATTAAGAAAACGATGAATGTCCATCCGTAATAGGTCCATGTTTTCAGGAAACACAAAGACTTAACTCCAACAACACCACGTTAAAGTCAATGGCTAGTGAACATAGACTTAACTCCTTAAGGCTCAAGTGCTCAGTGACTCGGGAACCACTTTTCTCAAAATGGCCAAAATGGAGTTACGTCTCTGTGTCACTGACCCCTCAATATGGGAATAGACTAATTGGGGAGTAGACCAAATGGCAATTCACCTTTCGACTTATTGAGCACCGGGCCACGAAAAGGGCTTTCTTGTACTGAAGAGACTACCCTGTATGAAAAAAAAGTTAAAATTTCCCTCTTTTCGCCGTTTGTGTATTACCCTTAACGTCGCAGAACTCTTTTCGTAGCGTATGATCAGTTTCCAATAAAATTAATTATTCTTTAAATATTACCCCACCCCCCCCCCCAAAAAAAAAAAAAAAAAATCGCGGAAATCCCCGAACAGTATCCTATTTTCGCGATATTTCTAACTGTAACGCTTTCGCCTACAATGACCATACAATCATCATGAATCGGCACCAGTGGGTTAGATTACTGTTAAATCATTCAAGTATAGAACAGGTAAAAATACGATATGCAAATTGTGTGGTAGATTTAGACAAATATGAAATACAAGCCTATATACAGAGCAATATATAATGTAACAAATAAACGAACATGAAATAAAAGTAACATGAAGTGCGTTTAAAAGATGGACATATACATTAATAATTAAAGCAAGTGTACTCACGGCTTGTGTCTTCTTCTTTGGATATATTCTCCTCAAGAAGATAAATGAACTAAATGTGCAAGGAAACCGATTTGGTTTCTCTCGATGATTATCAATGTATATCCAAGTCGACAGAGTCTCGTTTGATCTTTATTTGAAAGCGCTTGCCAGCGATTGAATCATACTTAACGAGAAAGCAGACACACACAGAGATGTAGCATCGAAGAATTTCGCCCAACTATAACGTTCACGAATGTTCGCTGTGTATTATCGCCTAAGAGATTAACTAAAGAGCGCGCGCTAATGATTCTTACCGGTTTCCGGTGCAGAGCACGTGCCCCCTCACATTTTTTTCTGGAGGTGACATCTGGCAAATCACAGCGCTCGTTATATCGATCCTCGGCAAAGGGGCAACTTGGCAGGAAGTTGGCGAAGGAAGTGGGCAATGAAAACGCTCGGTACTTAATTAGTCAGACAAAAGAGTAAGATTTCTCAACCACGGAGGGGGAAGGGGGCAAAACTAGCTTGGGGGTCAAATAGGGTTTTGCCGCTACTATAGCGCAACGTAGTTTCGTGTATATCAACATCCCCATCTCCCCCCCCCCCCCCCCCCACACACACACTCACAAACACACATGATCTACTTTGCTACTTCAATTGATAGAACACCATAGTGCTAGCGTCATATTCGCTCGCTGTCTAGTGTACCGGTGTCGGGGCGGGGAGGTACCTCGTTCCGGGGGAACAAATCGACTGAAATAACTTTTTCGCCGATACGTTCCTGGACCGTCGATCCTATCTGGCCTAGGCTCAAGGTTTCTGCTAATAAAATGACGAAGATTCTTGATTTTTTACATTAATGATAATCCGTTCTTGTATAGCGCTTAAAACTCATTATGATAGGAAATTATCGCCCTAGACTTAGCTCCGGCAGCCGTTATCAGCGCACAGTGCATTAGATTTGAATCCTAGCAGGTTCTAGCATCCACTCAATATTTATTCAACATATACTTCATCTCGATGACAGACCTGGGGGTGTTTCACAAAGATCCTAAGTTGAATTAATCTCTAAGTTGGACTTAACATTTATGAAAAGCCATTAGCATCCTTGAAAATATTTTGTAAAAGTTATTTTTTTCTATTTATCATAGGAGAATTCATGTTCTTGATGTGTAATTTATGAAAAGTCTAAAATACTTGAACTTTTGCTTTTAATACATTTCATTATAAGGCTACACATGGCTCTCCGTGATATTTAAGTCCAACTTAGAGTTAAGTTCGACTTAGAATCTTTGTGAAACACCCCCCTGAAATCATTGTGTCCTAGCCTCGTACATATATAAGCCATATTGACTCTTTAATTCGACTTTGGCATCATTTTTTTTTGGGGGGGGGAGGGGGGCCGGTGCACCCCTGTGCCCCCCCCCCCCCCCTGGATCCGTCCCTGTTGATGTTTTTCGTTAGTGATTTCTTTTGTCCAGAATATGGAGCATAAAGATAAACCAAATATTTTATCCTAAAACACTGAACTATCGAGGCCTTTTTAGTAGACCAGCCAAGACGTCAACACCAATAAAATCATGACTTTTGACATTCGTTCAAATGTGATAATGTCATTTTTTTTCTAGTACAACAATGATAATATCGCGGGTAGGCGCGATGGCTCAGTGGTAGAGCAGTAGTCTCGTAGCCGGAAGGTCCCGGGTTCAAAATCAAGTCGATGCGCTCGTGCCCTTTGGTGAGTGGGTAAAGCATTAATCCTTGATTAACCATTGAAGAGGACTTCAAGTCATCTGTCCCTTGGTTGCTTACGTACAAGGGAGGTGCGTGATAGTGCACTGCCAGACATATCCGTGACAAGCAACAGCAACATGTTTTTTCCTTCCCTTCCTGTTTCTTCCTCCTTTTTCCTCCCCCTTTCCTTCCTCCCCCTTTCCCCTTCTTCTTTCCCCCATTTTGATGTGGTCTGGGGTGGGTGGGGAGGGTGGGGGCATGAATAGTTTGTGCCCCCGGGAACCACCACTGAGGGGAGCCGTGAGGGGGGGGGGGGGTCCATTAACAAGTGCTATCTTGAGTTTGGCCTAGATTGACAATGGAAGAGTCAGCTGAAACAAATACGGGGCTTAAAGATAAAGGTGAGTTCTGGTAATGCGATGGCATTGTGAAAGAAAAGGTGTGGAATAGATCAGAAAAAGTTGATCCTGTAGCATGTAAGTATTGGTTTATACTGCAAGGTTCTGGAGTCATCAAAATCATAATAAATTTGGCCCAGTCTTGGTAAAGTAACAAGCACTGTACACAGAAAGATGTATATGGGACAACACAAATAGTGTCGGGGCTAGTATTACCTTGATTTCCTTGTCTTTCTATGCTCATTACTCAGCCAATATACATTTTTTCCAAAATTGTTTGGCACATGACATTCATTTGTAATCTTGAACATTCAGTGCAACTTTCGTTTGATTCTGTCAGAATTCATTTTTTTATTTTTTTTACCAGAACTCTAGTTTATCTTCCCTCGCAAATTTTGGTCTCCTTTTATGCCAAGAAAAAAAAAAGCCACTCAAAGATATTTGTTATGATGATAATGATGATGATGACGGTGATAATACTTTAAAAAAAACAGCAAAAATAAATAAAAAATAGGCCCTTAAAACAATAACAGTTCTGTATATCATAATATAGCCGGTCAGATTTGGTCAAATTGATTGATGTTAGGCAATTAAATCTTTTAAAAGTAAGGAAAATAGCTTAGGTGGTTGAGTACCGAAATATGAAGTCATACTGGCCAAGTGGTCAAGGTCTCTGGTTCCAAACCATTTTGTGCTAAATAATGGTGTGGTGATCACACCGGCCCCCGAAAGTGAGTTGGTCCGGCTTCAGCCCGTTACTTGAATGGTTTCCCGGTGAACTTTATGCGCAGGCGGTTGTTTAAAACCAGTAACCTTGACGACGAGCGAATTATGACGTAAGCACTTCAGTACTCGAAAGCAGGTCAATGTCAATGATGGTAGATAGAGGGCGTCTTCCATATTCAGATGTAGTCACAGTTAAATTTAGTGGCGAATCACGATTGATCTTTTCCACCCCATATCATATCAATACCGACGATTAATAATTCATATCGGTGCCATAGAGATAAATAGAGAGAGAGAGAGAGAGAGAGAGAGAAAGAGAGAGAGAGAGAGAAAGGAAGAGAGAAGAAGAAAGAGAGAGTCAGGGGAGGGGAAACGGATAAAGAGAGAGGGAGAGAGAGAGAGAGAGAGACAGAGAGAAAGAGAGAGAGAAAGAAAGAGAAAAGGAGAGAGAAAGAAAGGGGAAGAGGAGAAGGAGAGAGAGAGAGAGAGATAAAGTGAGAGAAAGGGGAGATAAAGCTAGGGAGAGAGAGAGATAGGGTAGAGTTAACAGGCCCTATGAATTTATTTATTTCTTAATTTAAGCGAGGTAAAGAAAACAACAAATATAATAATTTACATTGTACATAAATAACATAAATAAAAGTGGAAGAATTACACCAGGCAAGTTAGAACCCTCGATCCCCCCTGCCCAAACAAATATTCAAATTCAATTTTGTGGCTTATAATCCAAACGTGTACTTTCATTAGGATAGCGGAAGTAACTAATGGGGGATGCAAGGTTGGTGTGCGGCTAGGGACCAAAACAAAAATACCGAAAAGTCACGACCAAAAAACAAAAACAAAATCACAAGGATTCGGGGTTAAGGGGAACAAAAGATTAAGTGCGCCACCAACGTTGTGCCTTTACTTACGGTACGCCCACGTCGAGGGCGTTCGTTGAGAAACATTTCGTTATAAAGAGAGCACAGCAATATCTTTCTCTCTTCAATCGCTGATAAACAGTCCTCGAACAAGGATCGGAGAGCTTTTTTTTTGGTAAGTGAATAATAATCTCTTTCTTTTGAACATGATCGAAAAGACGAAAAGTTACTTTCGTAATGTAACCAAATTAATTCGAGCGCATTTGTGAAGCGCCTCGTTACGAATGACTTCATTCACCTTTTACGAATAAGTGTATCACGGTAGTTATAATTCAAAGTGCATACGTAATTCGTTGGTAGGTAAGAAAACATAATGGCTTGCCCTAGCTAACAATACGTGATATATGCAATTGGCATACTGGATTTTGAAATACAACTACAACTATACGTAACAGGTGAATGCAATAATTCGTATCGAGGCACTTAAGTATAGATTTGGTTTAATACATTACCCCCAAAATGGCTCATTCTGATGTACATGTTCATGACATATTGCAATGGGCGCACAATACACGTACGTATTGAATTGATTTATCTTGAATATACATGTACAATAAGCAATTGTCGTAATGCAATACAATGTAAAGCATACATCTTTGTTTAGCGCCTTAAATTATTTCACTCACCTGTTTACGAATAATTGGATTTCAATAGTCGATATACGAATTACATACATTACGTGTTGTTTGATAGGACCAGTCATAATGTTTGTCCTACCTAGCAACAATCAATCTATGGAATTCGCATTCTGACTGCTGAAATACAATTATTAGTATCAAGTGAAGGGAATGAATTTTGTATCATGGCAGTTTTCACAGATTTGTGCATTTAATATGATTATGTTACGAAAAGGTCTATTTGGAATTTATCTTGTTCTTGAGTTGTTTTCTCGAAATTCTTTGCGATAGTGCTTTTTGTTTCAGTAGCAGGGAAGAGGGATGCGGATTAGGAGAAGGGAGGTAAACAAGAAGGTAAGGAAGAAAAGGGGAAGAAGAGGAAGAAGAATAGGGGAAGGAAAAGAAAATGTGGGGGAAGAAACAGACAGAAGAGAAGAAAGAGGAGAAGGAGAAGGAGAAGAAAGAAAAGAAGAAGGGGAAGAAGAAAGTGCAGAAAAAAAGGAGGAACGAGACAGAAGAAGAACTATTAGAAGAAGGAAAAAGAACAATCGGTGGCGTGGGAACATGGCCATTGTTATTGTCAAATCGACATAATTATGTTAATAATCACTTAACTAAACACGTGTCAGGAGCTAGGATAGTGAATCAAATTACAGTTGTCCGCAGGCAGCAAAACCCCGAGTAATCTTAAACAAAAGGAAACATACATTCCCCCTAAAATGAATGAATTACTTCAGGCAAAATTTCGGCCTATTTCAATAGAAAATGGAATTTTACTTTTCCCCCTTTTGGAATTGTGCCTGATGGAATTTTATTCAGTTATGAGGCTTTGCTATAACAAAGGCCAGGGGGTGCTTTACAAACATCCTATGTCAAATTTTGGAGAGCCATTTGTAGCCTTAAAATGAAATATTTTCAAAAGTGAAAATTCAAGTATTTTATACTTGTTATCAATTCCACATAAATAACATAAAATCTCCTTGATAATAGAAAATATGAATAATTTAAATCAAAATGTTATCCTTTTTAAAATATCTTTTACAAAATATTTTCATAGATGCTAACGGCTTTCCATAATTTTTAAGTCCAACTTCAAGTTAGCATCTTTGTGAAACACCCCAAGAATAAATAACTTTGATGTTATCATGATAACCAGTATAATTAGCATGATGAGATTAAAAGTCTACAACAAGCCGGCTGTCTAATTATAGCTCTGATGCAAGGTTAAAAAGGCTGAAGTAGTTGTTCAGTAGTTGCTGAGCAAATTTTTGTCAACGAGGTAAAGAAAAAATCAATAACATAATCATGATAATTCAATATAAGTTTGTTTTGAGCTCTTGTAGTGCGTGGAATAATAAGACCAAATTAAAGTCCGTTTTTAAATTGATAAAACTGTACGGCATATTTACGCGCCCAAAATATCAAAGTTAGAATAACATGGATTCTGTTTCTAATCATTAACTCTGGATAGGAAACAAGAACTCAATTAAACCTGGCCGAATAATTTTGACCTCTTAAGAAAAAAAATGACACCACAGTTGATTTCAATACTAGTCAAATGAACTAAAATTTAGTCAAATTGTTTCGGGTTCAAATGATTGAATGGCTGTTCTATCTGTTTATGTAAACACAACGAATTGGCTGTTACAAAAGTGTAATATCAGACGTATGACGAACCCCACACTACGCTTCTCGTTGAATATTAAAATTAATCAATCTTCTAAAATTGACTTTTGGACCTTGATAACAATAGTTTATTTACCGTGGGTGAGGGGCGCATGGTTTAAAACAATAACGTACACTGGTGTTCAGGAATTCGGAATTTTTTCTTCTTATTTTTCTTCTGATGGGTAAAGTTTATGTATTCTCACAACTTAATTGATTAATAAAGTTATACAATGACAGAGAGATAAAGAGAAAAGGGAGAGGGCGGAGGGTAACAATGCATAGACATGCCTCTTATAATCATGGAATATTCAATTATGATGGGAACGTGTGTCATTTTGTTCAAATTTGAAAATGATGAAGTAATCGTAGCTCAGTCAAATAGCTGTACTGGGGGAGGGGGTCTTCACAAAGACTAAGAACGTCTTTAAGTTGAACTTAGCTATGGCAGGCTTTTCATGCCACGAATTCCTCTAACCATTCCTGGCATTGGTTTCTCAAGGGACGTACAAATCATGGTAACAAATCTACAGAATTTACCTTTTTTGATAGTTCATTATTGAAGGAAAAATTATTATCTAAAGATCATAACTGAGAGACGAATGGTGAGTAAGACCAGTGGCATGAATGGCCTGCCATAGTTCAGTCCAACTTAACGTCGATCTTAGTCTTTTTGAAACACCCCCTGGAATGGTTGGTGAGTCTAGTAACTGCAAACTAATTTGAATGATCGTGAAGAATCTGCTGAACTGATTTTCATTTTAGGACAACAGTCACACCGGAGAGACCGAACACAAAATTATTAAATGGTCGTGAATACGTCGGCTTTTAGTCGGAGTGGAGTCGGCGTGAAGTCGGCTTGGTGTCGTGACTCATATCACAGCCGAACCGACTAGACAGACCACAAACCGACAACTTGACAGACCAAAAAACAAAAACAAAAACAGGGGGAATAATTTGTGTAATACCTTATTCCGAATTGTCGCGAATTGTCGACAATTTTATGCTGATACCCCTCCCCCCCCCCCCCGCTGATTCGCCGGCTGATTCTCCGCTAAATACTTTCTCATGAATTGAGCCCCCGCCCTCGCCGCCGGCTGGATCCGCCCCTGGTTTACACTCCCTTTAACCTTTAATCTATATAATGGTAGGTAAAGATTTTGAGATTTGTGTTATGCATTATACTTATACAATTTTTTGTTCTTCTTCAGATGATTGGTACACTTTAAAGTAACTGCAGAATGATGACCTCTGACACGATACCCATGACGTCGCACATGCACGGCTATCCTCATGAAGAGGCATGTCAACAATCCCCCTATCTTACACAATTGAAGGTAGGTTCGACGCACTTTTCAAATGAGCGTGGTGGTTACGTGTTAGAGTGGTTAACACACTACATTTGCCAATCTCCACCCAGGTATTAAATGGGTACCCGGTAGGATGCGAAAGTTAATGTGGTTGGATTAGCAAGTGGCGCTTGTTAAATGGCGACTGGCTGGAGTGCTCCCCAGGAAGTGGAACATGTGCATACATTGTGTTTCGGGTAAGCCTGAATCCGATGACCGGGTTAATAATATGTGCTGCGCCTAGAAACAAAGTATTATGCGCACTATAAATGTTAGCTTTTAAAGGGGTCGGAATGACCGCATGCGTGTTACCAAAATGTCCGGTAAAGGGGTTCTTTTCACGCACCAAAGTCTGGCTCGTAGTACACAAAATTGACTTTACACACCGGACTTAGGGGGTGTTTTCAAAAGGAGGGAACACGCATATGCGTACCCTAAATAACACTGAGTGGGGGAGGGGCGGGCTCTTTTTCCAAGGGCTCGAATCACAGCCGGGCACTAACGTCGTGTGGCAAGACATTAATCCACATTTGACGCTCTCCACCCAGGTTTTAAATGGGTACCTGGCAATTGCCTGGGGAAATATTAATTGCCGGCTCCTCATGCAGAACAGCTCTGCTGCTAATGAGCCTTCCCTGCATAAAATAATGATTGAAACTTTTGTCATTATCATTGTTGTTGTTGTTGTTGTTATTTTAATTTAGAATATTTTTCGATAATAATTAAGAATTATTGTTAATAAAAGTATTATTGTTAGTTTCATTTATTATCCTTATTTTAATCAGCAAGTGAGGCCTAATTTTAGACTCGCTCACTAACTGAAAACTAACCAGTGCAATCAGGAAACTAATCTGTTATTAGTTTCTTACTTGTACATTTTTAAAGACTTCACACAGTTAGGGGATAAAAGTAAAACAGCGGTACCAGCAAACTTTCATTGCTCTTGACTTTGAACATTTCAACAAAAAAACATGAAGAAATCCTCGTTAAATATTGTTTGTAAGCATTTGATTTAATTTCAATTTAGGGGACAGCCATCATACAGCTGATAGGAGGATGTTTCCTAGTTACCATGGGTACATTGGCCATCGTCATGTTGGCCTTTTGGTCCTACTTTGGTGCAGCCATCTGGAGCGGAATACTGGTAACATTCTATTGAGTATCGTTCAGGGGCCCGTTTCACAAAGCCTTTTTTCAATGACAAGTGACAAATATCAGTGACATATCTGCTGATAACCAATCAGAAGCAAGGATTTCAGTAGCTTATTACAAAAACTGTCATTTGTCACTGATGACAGGTTTTGTGAAACGCCACCCATGAGATTTCATGTTATTGATTCATGTTATTCAGTCTTCTTTAAAAACATAGGGTAGCCCTATTTAGTGCCCCAAGGCCTGCTTTATAAGGGGGCATGTACCAAGTAGATGTATACAATTTAAACATAGCATGAAAAAAAAAAATAAGTACATACAATATGGCATATACAGGAGGCGCGATGTCTCAGTGGTAGAGCGGAGGTTTCATAACTTAGAGGTCCCGGATTCGAAACCAAGTCGATGCGCAAGTTCCTATTGGTAAGGCGTTAATCCCCATTTTTGCCAAGCCCCTCGGAGATGACTTAAAGCCGAATGTCCCCTGGTTGCTTACTTACAAGCATACACATGCTTTCTTATCAATCAGGTAAAACTAACTAACAATCAAACAAACTACAGATTGGTCAACCATCTTTTTACTATTTGATGCGGATTTATTTATGAACAATAACCCATGATAACCTATAATAGATTGTAAACCTAACTTCCGACTCACCATTTTGGTCTTATACCAGCCAATACGTGAACTGTGATATATATATGGGGAGAGAGAGAGTGTAAATATGTTTCTCCATCACTTGTATATACATATACATGTATATATATCAGTTATTTATATTGGCTTTTATTGTCAGATATACAAATGATACATTCGAATGTGCTTTGAAATTATCCCTCGTTCTGAATTTAATGATGGCCCATACCGGTAATTATCGTAATATCTTATGCAAAGCATGTCGATGGATACAGAATACCGATACATTCTAATACAGTGCGTCCCAGAAAAAACGAAACCGAGAAGTATCGATGTTCTATCATAACTTAATCATAACCATAATTAATGAATGATACATATTTGGAAAGCTTAGAGTCTCCTCTTTCAGTTGATGCTACTCACGTGATGCATATTTCACGCATGAGTGATTAAAAGCAATTTGAAGGAAGGAAACTAAAAAGACATTTGGCGGGCGGTATCTGAATTTCGAAGAAAAATTCATATTTCTAGAAAGTTGAGTTTCTGCCCTTTCATATGACACCTCAATCAGGAAAAATGAGCCAGCAATGACAAGGTTCTGTTTGTTTAAAGTAGTGCTTGTATTTCCATAATTTTATTAAACGAATTCGTTTTCACTGGCAGCCTGCCGTATCAATAAACGAAATTAACAAAAGACTTAACTCCGTTTCGTTGACAATCAGCCGTAGACGAGTGTCTTCATGCATGGCTGATTGTCAACGAAACGGAGTTAAGTCTTTTGTCAAATCTGCTTTTTGCTACGGCAGGCACCCAGTGAAACGAATATATATCATTCATTAATTATGGTTGTGATTAAGTTATGATAAAACATCGATACTTCTCGGTTTCGTTTTTTTCTGGGACGCACTGTATAATGGTATTTGAAAGGCGGCCAATTGGACTTTAAATCGAATGCTTCAGTTCAGGCGTTCGTTCATAAGGTTTTCAAAAGCATATTGGATGATATTATACGATTCAATTCACATTTACCATCTATTATTAGTAATATCTATGTTTGCTTGTACTCACATCTCAGGTATTCGGTGTAATTGGAGTAGTTGGGATGTCGGCAGCTTCTACCGGAAACAAATGTTTGGTAACCACTCTTTAAATCTCATGCACAGTTTTGGTAGCGAAAATAGGAATTGGAAAGAAACGTGTTGAAATGTATAGTGTCGCGCTGCTCTCCTTGCATTAAAGCCCCACTGCACTACTTATAACTTATTGCGCCCTGTATTTAGCACACAATACCTAATCGGTGACTATTGATCCCCCATGATCCTATTTTGCTTATGTTAATTGAGAGCTGATTTGATGAGATAACAACCTGTAAATGACCATGCAGGAAGGTTCTTATTCCCCCTGGCCAAAATAGTGCAGAGGGGCTTTAATATAATTTATGTACGTGAACATTTGGTATTCTGTCCATGATTTCAAGTGAATTATAGAATAAATATTTGCAAGAATGGCTAGATAACGGTTACACACTCCCCTGCGCTATAGGACATTATTGCACTCTGATAGCTCCCCGCACGAAAAGTGTAAGCGCTTCCCCTGGTGAGGGCGTGGGTGTAGCACGCAGCGCAGATCCATCTATACACAGCGTTTGGCCAACTTGGTTTCACTGGGTCACAGCATGGCGTATATTTTTTTGTTTTGTGCTTGCCTAACAAAGCAGTAGTCGCCAAGGTGTGTCCAACTCGAACGGGGTTGGCCGAACTCTGTGTATAAATGGCCTTGCTGCAGCGTATACTCACAGTCCCTATAGGTTTTACATCTTACACACATGTAGTGTAGGTTGCCGTTGGTGGAATATACGTTCAAGGCTGGGTATCTTAATTACCTCTAATTTGTAAATCTTTTCATTTGTGGAGAACACTTTCACGGCATCTGCTAGTATGTTAAATGTATCATATAAAATCAAAGAAATCTAACGAAAAGTTTTTGAAGGTTAACGGAGACGGGCATGATGCCTGCCTGACCCGATAATGTCACTTCATGTACACAGGTCTTTACAACGGTTTACGGTGTTAAAGATGAACTTCTATTTTGCACATTTTCAAGAACAGTTTACACAATAATATGAACCCTCTTTTGCACAACAAGAAGATCTTAAAGTTTTAACCCTTTGTGGCTTATTAGGTTAAAGAAAAAAAATATATGTTTGCAAAGACATGCACAAATACCTTATTCACATCTAAAATCGTTATATATGTCCCATCTGTGTGGAATTTCTCACTCTTTCAATCTTGATAATAATGATAATAATAATAACGATAGTAATAATAATCATAACAATAATACTAGTAATAGTCACATTTGTATAATAGCGCCTCATATTAAATTTCTAAGCGCTTTACATTGAAATTAATATTACCCGGTCAATGGATTGAGTTGTTAATCCGCGCATGATAGTGCACATGCCCCGCTCCCTGGGGAGTATTCCCCCAGGCGCCATTTTACAAGCTTACACATGCCTATCCAACCACATTGCGTAAATGAGTCTGATGACTGGGGGTAATAATATGTATAAAGCGCTCAGAGATGGTATTCCGTATTAAAGATACAGTCGAGTTCTGGTCATGCGATTGCATTGTGAAAGAAACGTTGTGGAATAGATCAGAAAAGGTTGATCATCTAGGCTAGCATAGATGACCTGCAAGGTTCTGGAATCATCAAAATGATAAGAAATTTGGCCCAGTCTTGGTAGAGTTACAAGCACTGTACACAGAAAGATGTGTACGGGACTATACACGAACATGTGGCATACAAATCCGTCCCGATTTTTATGATGTTACATGCCATATTTAAAATATTAAGGGATTTGAAGAGTCATGCTTTTTAGGGAACACTTTGTATCTGATGTTCTTCCACACTTGCATAATACAATGATAACGCTCACAATTTGTTTTCCACTTCTTCCCAGAACTCAATCTTCTCTTTAAGCGTTATATAAATCCAGGGCCCTGTGTCAACAAACCTGTTATCAATCAATAACAACAAATTAAAACAAATGCTAAATTCATATGGCAAATCAGCCGATCAAGGGCCACGATTTAAATAGCTTATAACAGTTATTGTAACTTGTTATTGAAAAGTTTTATGAAACAGGACCCAGATTTGTTATGATATACGATGTATTTGTGTAACGATTTCATCCCAGATCCGGACCTATCTCGGCTTGTCCATTGTTGGCTGCCTTGCGGGGTTAACACTCTGTGCAATGCATATCTTTGCTGCCATTTCTGAGGACAGTAATAGCGATGATTACTGGGGATGCCAGCCCGGCAAAATATTTTCCTGGATTTTCAACTGCGCTAAATCACAGGTAATCAAGAAGGTTATTAATCAAAAATATATAACCCACTACCCTAGGATTATCGTAGTCCGCAAGCACAAACCCTGGTCAGTCGTACAAGTGAGTCTGCACTATAAGACTACCTTATGCCATGCACTGAGCTGCTCCTGACACAGGATTGACACAACCATTTTGTTGTTGTTAGTGTTGTTGTTGTTTTGGTTTATAGGCGTTTGTCATTCAGAAGTGAATATTTACGCCAGGAGGTAGCTGGGCTAGGCTTTTCTCAAGGCACAATGATATTTTGATAAAGTGTCAAATTAGGGTCTGTTCTTGCAGACTAGGATTATCGTACGCTAACCTTACCGATTGAGCCAATGATAAACCTAACCATGAGACGACAGGGATTGATAGTCTGTTTAGAAGATTAGTTTCAAATTATATTGAACTCATTGCTTTTTGTAGAATTATATTATGACAAATTGAAATCAATTTTATCTTGGAACATTTGTATTCTTGTTCCTGGGATATTTGAGGACATTTTCAACAATTTTTTTTATCATTAGGCCTTGATACAGACAACGCCGGTGCATTATATGCATCCTCCAACTTCTTGCACTCTTAAATGTGCATATTTAAAGGAACTTGGTAACATTGTTCAGATGAGAGAAAGTGGTGCTGAGGTAGTGACGTCAATGCTAGATGTACAATTAAAGATAATCTGAAAATTTGAGTGAAAACGGACCATTATTAATGGTACAAATTGGGAAAAACTGATCTGATCAATTACTTAATTCTCCCAACTATATTATTACCATTAAATAACATTTTAGGTAAATGTAAATCGTCACAATGCAATAAATTGGCTCTATATACCATTCCAGACATGTGTTGAAAGACTTTGAATAGCCTGGTTTATGTCTTTTTTTCATGGAAAAACGGTTGGGAAAATTCAAAAATGGTTGGGAGAATTTACTGTTAATCACTGTTAGAGGGTGTTGCACAGTGACGCCTTCAAAGAAAACCAAATATATATATAGTTGTGGTCTGATAATTTTCCAGGATTTGTTTGCATGTCAGAGGGTTAGTACAGTAGAAGGAATATAATAAGTAAAATTTTATACAAAAATTACTCAATTTTTTCATCAACCTTTAACAATGTTACCGAGTCACTTTAAAACGTTTTTCAGATATACTGCACTTTAAAAGGAGCAGATCAGCACCCTCGCTAATTGCACCCTTATTTCTTAGTGTGTATGGGATTGTTCTTACAAGAACCGTTTAAGATAGAAAGACAAAGAGAGAAACTATACCAATCATAAAAGATAACGATTGTATCATAACTTAGCATAATTTCCTAGATTTTGCAATTCAAAAAAGGGATCTGGTTTTCGGGTTCCACAAACTTTCGTGAATAACAATCCCTACCTCCCGAAAGGTTTGATTTAACGTTTTTGAAATACACCTCATATCGCCAAAGCTTACCGAAAATCTATGAATAAACCATATTACTAGATAAATAATCCCAAGAGTTCGTAACAAAATGGTAGCGATCAACACTTCGTCCTTGTATGTCATATGTTCACAAATGTACATGTAAAAACATAAGCTATATACCTCAAGGAAAATCTTTGAATTAAATATGATTAATTTGCATTTAATTTACACGACCTAACCAACCATTCTACTCTAAATCGATATTTATGTAAACGTATAGGCCGCGAGGCAGGTGGTTGACGTCCTCATAGCGACTATTGCGTTGGTCCTCTCAATTTCATGCATCGTCTCGGCATCGTTTGGGTGCGCTGCTTCTTGCAAGGGGTGTGCCAGCTGCTGTAAGAGATGTGGCTGCGAAGAGGAAGGTTGCTGTCAAGGCTGTGCTTTACCGCCTGAGCCTGCCAAGGTATGTCATAACGTATGTCTTCATCAGCTCGAGATTTCCAAATATCCTGATATTTCAACTATCCTGATCGTCAATTATCCAGTTAATTTGCGTCTTCATCAGCCCGAAGTTGCAATTAGCGGGATATTTGGTCGAGACAATCGTTTATTCCGCATATTGAAATCAATATGATTAATCTGGTCTTCAATCAAGCCCTGTAATATACAACAAATATAAACAAATATGAATTACAAACAAGGACCCTTTTACAAATCAACAAGAATTTCGAGGGCATCTTACCCCTATAACCCCCTCTAAATAAAGACAACAAATGACCCTAAGCATACACATTTCCCTGTGTCTTATGAGACATACAATATAGTGAGTAGCTCTGTGGCCTAGTTATGTATATATTTCGTTCCAATTTTTTCCGGGGGAGGGGCATATACCCCTTTTAAGCCTTGTCCAGGATATGACGCTGCTATAACAGAAGGGACCTCCGGAACAGCAGATATAATACCGATGAAGCTCTTAAATTAGGAGATATCGTTACTATCAAAACGCATCGTTCAGATATGACGAGATAATCCGTTTTTTTAAGTGATGTAATAAAATAAAAAGTGTTAGGCCTACCGAATTAGTTTTTCTGAATATTGTATTGGCCTCTTTCGTCAATATGCAACATATATAAACTTGAATAACCATAAAGTTGGAATCAATTTTCTTACTTCTGTTCATGAAACGATTAGAAACATACGGATTACCCTTGATAGTTTATTCCTCTTCACAGAACTTTATTGATCAATCTCTATGACTCTTCGTAGATTGATTGATCAATAAACAGCAACAAAAGTTCTGAGAAGCTATTTTACACTTCATCTATCGAGAACGATCTGTATTGTCACAAACATTTCATAAAAAGAAGTAAAGTAAAACATTTCAACTTTATGAGCAACAGTGTACATTACAAATGTCCATTTCTTCGGATTTCGCTTGGTTAAAATGTTTTGTTCAAATGAAATTTGACATATCGAACGATTAACCTTTTTTTCCCTGGTACTTTTTCAGCCCCAAAGAACATCATGGAACAAGGAAGGTATGTGTTATAAGCTACTGTTATATGCTACTGTTATAGGCTACTGAGATTTCATTCACCGCTGTTCGACATTATGTTAGGACTTTGATAATAGCTAGATAATAGCTACATTTAATAAAACATTTTCGTAATATAATCAAATTTAATGCAAACAAATTTTGTTAAATAGGAAGTTAACCCTACTATTAAATTGGATTTAATTTAAACAGAAAAAAATGGAGAAACAATTCGGTGAAAGTTTGTGAAAAATCGGACAACAAATAAGAAAGTTATGATTCTTTCAAAATCGTGAGAATCGTGGAATCTTTGAGACTAATTGGCAAAGCGGTCGTCATCCCCTCACAATTCACCACTAATCTGAATGACAGAATGACCCAAAATCTCAATTTCTCTCAATGAAATATGAATAGTAAACCTATCCTATATGGGGTTACATGGAAGAACATTATATCAACGATTTATGATCCCAAATAGAGCTCAAGACGCGCCTGCAAAACACTGACCCTGCATGGTCTATAGGTGCGCTAAGGCGATAAAAGCATTCAAGAACATATTCGTACCAGATCCCCATTTGGAACACTCGGGCAAACATGGGAAAAACAGATCAAAGTCACATCAAAGAACATTTCGTGCTGCGGCGGGATTCGAACCCCGAACAATGTAATCTATTACCACGACACGTCTGATAATTATCTGATGGTATTATAAAAACATCTTTAACACGTTTATTTTAGTGAACACATATTGAAGGTCCTGAATTGCAAATTGTTCCTTGTTTGATAGAGATGTCAGCTCAACCTATTTTCTGTACTTTGGTATATGCAGCCATTATCTAGTAAATTCGCATTGTATTTAAGATTTGCTATGCCAAAGGATAACATTATATCTTTCGCTCGAATTAATGATGATACAGTTTCAAAACTATAAAAACTTGGTTTGTACAGTTAGCCAACAAAGTCAAAATATTTCCCTCTTTGCCAATCTTTTCAAATATTAACTACATAGTTTTTCTCTCATTTTAAAACGATCGCAAAGGCTTAAAAAAACGTTAACCTAAGGCCGTTTCAATAGTCATGACTGTTCCTCAACTATTCATGAATTGAAATATATACAAAAAGAGAAATCTGAACGTAACTTATATCAGTTAATGTTCTTGAAATTACCTTTGAGTTATTTTTTTTTTCATCTGTGAGATTTGTTTTTCTTTCCTTTGTGCACTTTTATGACTTCCAAGTTCATCAACAAGCCAGAATCCAACAAGGCCACTCCCCCTCCATGACACCGGCGCCTTTATCCACCAATCAGGAAGCAGCGTCTTACATCGTGACGACTGCAGTCGATCAGGCCCCACCTCCATCCCAACCAGTTCTAGGAAACGCCCAGCTTTCACCCGTCGAGCAACCACATGACGCGAAGAATTAATAGAATACAGACACGCCCCCTTCCACCGCCACACGGTGCATGGAGTGGGAATTATAATGTAACAAGTTGCAATAGACATTGTAGACCAGGGGGGTGTTTCACAAAGATCCTCAGTTGAACTTATCTCTAAGTTGGACTTAACAGTTATGGAAAGCCGTTAGCATCTATGAAAATATTTTGTTAAAGTTATTTTAAATGGCATAAAATGTTGATTCAAATCAATCATATTTTCTATTTTCTATTTCCAAGGAGATTCCATGTTCTTCACGTGGAGTTTATAAAAAGACTAAAATACTTGAATTCTCACTTTTGAATATATTTTATTTTAAGGCTACAAATGGTTTTCCATAATTTTGAAGTCCAACTTAGAGTTAGGTTCGACTTAGGATCATTGTGAAGCACCCCCAGGGCCCGGTTTCATGAAAGTTGTTATTAAATATAAACGCTACGATTATATGACAAATTATTTGTCAGTTTTATGAATCGATCTATTTTGCATTACTATTATGACGATGAAATAATTGTTACATATATAATTTATATATACATTGTGTTTCATATTTTACTGTTGAGAAGGAAATAAATGTTAATAAATACAAATACTAGTGAACAGAAGCTCATAATTTACATGCTACTTAAGATTCAGATGTAGATTCAAGTTCAGATTCATCATAGTTATATAATCTTAGCTTCCCCTGGTAATAAGGCCTTATTATTATTGTTATTTTACTTGTAGTAGTATCACTATTCAATTTGTATTGCTATGTTTTTTTCTTTTTCTATTACTATTACTTTAACTATAAATTACCATAAGAGAGAAAGAAGAGGGAGGGGGTGGTGGGGGGGGGGGGGGGGTGGGAGGGAGGGAGGGGTAGAAGAAATCTATGCGCAATACTTATTATGATGTTATTATATCTGTGTAATTATTTTATTTATTTGGACGCCTGAATCAAAAAGCTAACATAAGCTTCCTACAGGTGCTCCCTTTTCCTTCTACTCATTTTCACAGTTTGTTTAAATTGATTTAACATAATGCTCATGATTTGTATATCTTAAACTGTCTGTACTTAATCACATGTACATATTTGTTCGCTTTTTAACGGAAATAAAGTCTTTTGAACTCGTATTACCATTACTATTAATATTAATATTACTATTACTAATAATACTATTACTATAACAAAGCTATAAATATTAGTATTACTTTAAACGTTACTATTAGTATTACTATTGCTATCTAAAATACTATTACGATTACTGTTACTATTACAATTTATTTTACTATTTACGTTTACTACTTTTACTGTAATTACTGTTTTGTTATCGTAACTGAACGTGAACACGACGAGATGAGAAGATATTGCGAAAGCCTAAAATATTGATTTTTCACACTATGTAAAAGGTCTAGCTGGCTATTTTGTAGGATTTATATCAAAATAAATTAAAAATTTACTTTGTAATACATTCCCCGCCCAAAATGATGAATTGTATATATATTCCAAAAATATTTGATGCATGATAATAAACGATACTGTAAAGAAAAGTACAAGAAATCTTCTTCCCGCTATACCTTAAACACCTAGACTACTGTCAAAATCGTTGTCTATTCTTGACAATATGCATGATAATGTAGAGGAGCGACGAATGGGTTTAATATGTGTGTGCGTGTGCGTGCCTGTGTATGTGAGGGACCACGTGTCCGCACGAGTCATTTCATTTAAGTCCATTTATTTAACACTTTGATATAACGCATGGACATCGGAACAAAGAAAAACATCAAATTCCAAAAGCAACTAGAAAATAGACATTAATTGCAACAGTAACTTAATATAAAGTTTAACATTTTTGAGCAAAAATCGATCAGAAATAGGAATTCGTATGACTTGGTGAAGTTCTTTAATTGAAAGTCCATAATTTTATGAAGCAAATTCGTTTTCCCTGGCTTCCTGCCGTAGCAACAAACAACAAACTCCGTCTTCTATGTTGCTACGGCAGACAGCCAGTGGAATGCATTCGTTTAATAAAATTATCAAAATGCAAGCATTACTTTTAACAAATACAACTTTGTTAATCCTGGCTCATTCTTCTTCATTAAGGTGTCCCATGAAGGGGCAAAAAATGAACTTGCTGAAAATGTAATTTTCTCTTTGAAACTTAGATACCGTTTGCCAAATGACTTTTTGGTACTCTTTCTTCAAATTGTTTTAAATCACTCATGCGTGAAATATGCATCACATGAGTTGCATCAAATGAAAGAGGAGGATCTAAGCTTTACAACTATGTGTCATGAATTAATTATAATTTAGTTATGATAAAACACCAATCTTTCTTGGTTTTGTTTTATCTGGGACGCACTATATATAGGGTGACGTTTAATTGATTTTTTAAAAGGGAATTTATTTCTATTTTTATAGTACAGGATGATAAGGAGGGGAGCTCGCAAGATGCTTCACTAAATTACCAATTTTTGTTTGATTGATGGCACCTTCAAAATTTCAAAACTTTCTTATTTGTAATCAGTTTTATGCTCAAACTTTCACTGAACTGTTTCTCTCTCATTTTCCTGTTTCTTTCAAAACCAATTTAATATCAGGGTGGACTACCCCTTTAAACGTATTGTATCCCTTTTGCAGCCAACATCGAATGATGTAGAAATTTGCAGGAATTATGAATATGTCACGTATGTCCTATCTGTTAAATTTAAACGTTAGCAGTGTCCTAGTATTCAAATTATGCAAGGAAATCCGTTTACTTTCTAGACTTTACTGCCAGACACTATTAAGTGACTGACTGGCTTTTTTCTTCTTTGGGTCATAGAAGGTCGTATTCATGGAAAGAAGAAGAGGGGAAGACCTCGTAAAGGCTTTCTAGCCGATGTAATTACAGAATGTGGAGCAACAGGGTATGAAATGCTGAAACGGATGGCTCAAGACCGAGGAACTTGGAGAGACACTTGATATAAACTTTTGATTGGGTAACTGAACCTGTCATAAACTGACAGATCACTATTGATGATGAATCACATACATAAAATAAGCTGCAAAGGGTGCATAAGCATTTGTCTACATCAATAACCCACTTCTTGTAATGACCAAAATTAAACTGATTGAATCTTTGCGCAGCCCAAAATGTACGATCATTCGATACAAGAGTCTGAAAATCAGACTATATAATTAAACGACCGCGATCTCTACATCCGATTCGACAACTAAAGGTCGTTATTTTCCAACAAAAGGACATTTCCAAGCCCTTTTGTTTTGAGGGAAGTTACATTTTATTGTTATCTTTCAAATGCCGTTGGACTTTAACCCTTTTAATTTCGTGGCCTGCACTGGGTGTACTACACCAGGGAGGTGAGTAGTCCCACCATCCTGATTACACCTAAAGGTATAGGGCCTACGTTTATTCGAATGTTAAAGAAACAAGTTTAAGGGGGAGGGGGAGGAGAAAAAAATAGGGATCATTAGTCGGACGATTCGATATTCCGAAAATGAAACTGCATGTTCTTTTTTATCACTTTTCGGTATGGGAAACGGGGGATTCGACTATGAAAGGGGACCCCCCCCCCTCCCCTCCCCACTCACCCCACTCACCCCATTGCACCGCCACATCAAATAAACTCGTTGCAAGGTGCGCGGTTTTCAATGATTACAGATCGAAGGGTCATACATGTATACGAGAACTATAGCCTGTAATCACGATATTCAATATCAGCTACTGAATACACACACCGTCACACACGTTCATTTACCGTCTTGCAGACTACAGCAACGCTCTGGCAACGCTCACCGTGAGTTCTATAAACAGTAAGTACGATTGCTTTTATATTATTTCATTTTGTTGCGAAAAGACAAGGAGGAGAAGAAAAGGAACATAAAAAACGGAAAATGAGAACAAGACGAAAAGAAGAAGATGTAAAGAGAGAGGATAAAGAAGAAGAAGTAGAAGAAAGAAATAAGAAGGAGAAGTAGTAGAACAAGAAGAAGCAGGAGAAAAAGAAGAAGAAGTAGAAGAAGAAAAATAACAATGATAATGATAATAAGAAGAAGAAGAAGACGTAGAAGAAGTAGTAGTAGACGAAAAAGCAGAACGGCTAGGAGAAGAAGAAGAAAGAGAAGAGGAGGAAGATGGTCGACGACGATGAAGAAGTAGAAACAATTTAAGAGTAATGGAAGAATAAAGAAGAAAGAGAAGAAGAAGACGTAGAAAAAAGAAAAGAAGAGGAAGAAGTAGTATAGTATACTAATGTAAACACATAGGCTATTGCTTCTTTTCACAAACCATGATGAAACAATGAAGTCGGTATTGATACAAAATAATGACGACAGTGTAGTCAGGGGCGTCGCCAAAGGGGTGTGTGTGTGTGTGTGGGGGGGGTGCGACACCCCCCCCCCCCCCACCTGTCAGGATATTGTCGGTAAAATTACGCTGCCGTCGGGAAAAAGAGAAAAGGGGGAGGGAAAAAAAGAGAGGGGAAAAAAGAGAGGGAAAAAAGAAAGGGGAAAAAAGAGAGGAAAAAAAGAGAGGGACAAAAAAGAGGGAAAAAAGAGTGGGAAAGGGAAAGAAAAAAAAAAAAAAAAAAAGAAAGAAAGGAAAAGAAAGGAAAGAAAGGAAAAGAAAGGAAAGAATAGAGAAGAAAGAAAGAGAAAAAAAGAGAAAGAGGGAGGAGAGGAAAGAAAGGAAAAGAAAGAAAAGGAAAAAAAGAAGAAAAAAGAGTGAAAGGGAAACAAAAGAAACGGGGGAAGGAAGAGAGGAGAGAGAGGGGAGAGAGGGGAGATAAGAGTCTGAGAGAGGAGGAGTGGGAGTAAAAGAGAGAAGGGGGTTGTTGGGTGGAGTCGTCTCGTCGAGGGAGCAAGAAAGACATGGGTAAATATGTTGCTATGTCGGGTCAGCTGTGTCGGTATTCTTGCTCGATCCTCGTGTACTATATCAATGCAGAAGTTTGAAGTCGGTGAGATGTATATTGTCGGTCGGCCGACAAGTTTTTTTCCCTACGAACTGTGATTTCTTATCCGCTGTGACGACTTCGAGAGTTACTACAACTACAATACTTGTATTTTCTCGAAGTTTCACTTTCCTATAATACCAGCTAAAGAAATCGGAGGTTTAAAATTTTTGGGGAAACTAAAT